ACAAATTATGAAGAAGCACGTAGATAGGCACAGGAAAGATATCCAATTTTTCGATGGGGATAAGGTATTCTTAAAGCTGCGACCCTACAAACAGAGGACGGTAGCTAATGGAAGGAATAAAAAGCTAGCCCCAATATACCTTGGTCCTTATGAGGTGTTGGAAAGGATATGAGCAGTGGCTTACCGCTTGAAGCTACCCCTGACTGCTTCCATACACCCAGTGTTCCACATATCACAGCTGAGGAGAGCTGTGGGGGATCATGCAACTAGTTCACAATTACCAGGGGTGCTCATAGAGGATCTGGAGATGGTTTTGGAACCATTGGAGCTTAAAAGGATATGTTAGAGAGAGAGAGAGCCCAAGAAAGTACTGATTAAGTGAAAGAACCTACTTGACTATAATGTCACATGGGAGCCATATGAGAGGGTTAAGCATCAGTTTCCCTCCTTCCACCTTGAGGGGAAGTTCTTCATAAACCGGTCCCTGGATGGGTCCAGCCATTCCAAACAGGATCGGTCCAGGTTTACAAGAGGCAGAACAGGGGAAGTTCTTCCCCCATTAATGTCGCACCTTGATAGGATCGGTCCACAAGCTTAATTAGGGGGATTTATGAGGAAAATTTCAAAAAGAATGAGTTGTTTGGGAGTTAGATGGGATTAATGTTTGTTTAAGAGGGAATTATTCCTAGGTTTTGTTTTTATCTCTATTTTATGCTGAAATTTTCTGATTCTTAGTTCTTGTTTGAGCTCTAGCAGCGTCTAGAGTTTTGGGAGAGCCGGATCTTCCTCTCCAATAGAATATTCATTGTTTCTTGTGTTTTTCTTCGACTATTATCAATTAGAAAAGGTTTATTTCTAATTTTTCTTCCAAGTTTTTTCTCAAATCAGTTTTTTCAAAGTGCAGAAATTTAATTTCAGCCAGGGGAACTCTTGATTTGAACCAGCGTTTCCTATCAGAATAATATTAAGAATGTTATTTTAGTTAAGTATGTCTATAAATGTGGTCTACATTTCATAAAATTGTTACCTTATTTTTTTATCACATATTTACGTCAATAGTATGTCATTAAAGTAATAATTAAATCATTCTAACATTTATTATATTATCACAGTTCAACCCCCTCTTAAATTTTATATTATCACTGTTAAACCCCTCTTAAATTCGATAAGTACATTGAATTTTTCCTTCTTCTAGTTCAATGTTTGATCCTACTTTCAAAACCTTGATGTCACCATAAAGTCGGTGCTCTTCTTAACTCTTACATAATTCAAGCATTGATATTAAGTAGATGGAATGAAGCCAATATTCATAAAACCACAGTCATCGCAGAAGAGCTCTAAAAGAGGTGTCAAAGTTGATGTCAGAAAATTTTGCATCTATGCAGGGCTTCTCAAATTTAAGTGATAGAATAAATTACCCAAAGGTCTTACACCATTGTTAGGTGAAGCCTTGAAAGAGTGCTTTAGCTCATCCAAGATATTCGGCATAGAGGGAAAAGCATCTCAACACCCTCATGCTCAAGAATTTTGCTGGAAAATCCCGATCAATAAAACTTTGGTTCATTAGCATGCCAATGCTCTCCATTATGAGGGGATGATGGTGTTTTGTCGTACCTAGCTATAAGTAGATGAGCATTGAAGAAGATGGTGACAGTGCATTGGCATAAAGGGCCTCGGTCATACACAATTCAACAATCATTTCATATTGCCAAGGTTCTGAAGTGCCTCATATATGTTGAACTACGCTGGCACCATTCATAAGTTTAACAGGATGTTGTGATCGCTCCCTTTTCTATGGCTAAGGTTTTGTACTACATTTACCGTATTTATTGGAAAATTTATCCTTCCTTTTTAGTACGCTTTAATTCTTCTCCACAACTTAGAATGCTCCAAAAAGGACTAACTGAAAGAAGAAGGAAAATCTTAGAAAACATAATTTGAAGATACGTCATTTTCTGTATACTGTAGTACATTTCTTTTTGCAACTACTGGTAAAACCTTTCTACATGAATATGGCTGATAAAGTAGTGGCATTATTTTAAAAGCTGCCACCAAACATTTCTGAAGCATAGTGCTATATTCTTTTACATAACTCAGCAGCTGGAAGAACAATAAAAAAGTAGGCTCGGAAACTTTTAATAATAAGCAGACAATTAACTCATAGATATCAGACTCAACCGCCATCACATAGAACAACTAGAGCGTCCTTTCAGCAAAAACCTTTTTTCATTTTTCTTTTTTTTAAATTGCCTCATAGCATAAATAATTTTTTTTTTTTATGGAGGTTAATCAACAAGGCTATTCCTACTACAGATTTTCTTATGCATAGAAGGTTGTTGAATTATAATCTATGTCCAAGAGGTTGCAATGCAGTTGAGGATGATGATCATATAGCTGCTACTTGTCTTAAATTAGTTCAAGTTATTAATTGCTTGAAATCTTGGGGATTCTATGTTCCCATTTTTTGCTCTTTTCAAGAGTATATAAGAGACTTGGAAAGGTTTGTTGTTTCTAATCCTTTCATAGCTGAATTATATTCTACTTTGTCATTATATTCGTGGAATGGTAGAAATAAAGTAAAGCATGGTGGCGTTGAAGATAGTGCTACATTTATTGCTTCAAAAGTAATTAATTTGGTGGCCACTTCTCATCATAATAAGATCATCTCGGAATATCGGAGTGTCAATTAGTCTTCCCGACTATTTTCCACATCTTGGCACCCACCTCCTCCCGAGTGGATCAAGATTAATACTGATGCTTCGTTATGGAAATCAAATAAAGCAGGAGTTGGTGGAGTGGTAAGAGATAATAAAGGAAGTGATGTGAAACTACTAGGAGTTACGATCGAAATTAAATAGAGAATTGTTAAAGTTTGCTTTTATAAGTTTATGTGGATCATGCAAGATAGATTAAAAAATTAGAAACGTGAGCTTTGCTTAGGCCAAAGAGATGCACTTGAGATTAACCAAAATAGTTCATTCAAAAATCCAAGGGAATTAAATGCGAAGTACAAACAACAAAACCCAACGTTTAACAACGAGAATTTCACCTTGGGGCGTATCACTCAAGAGGTGGTGGACTTTTGGCGGAGATAGAAGATCCAAGAGATGAACGAAGTTACCACTAGGGAGAGGGCGCCGAAGAACTTCGTCGGAGGAAAAGTTGCCGGTTGGGATGGAAGTCGTAGACGACCGTCGAGGCTCCAAGCGTGCTTTGAAAACTTTCGGTCGTAGATGCTTGCGAGGATTGGCACGACTCGCTCCAAGTACTCTTCTACGGTTGTCTCGTCTTCGAATCCTACGTCAAAACAAGGTGAACGTAGAATGTTGATGCTCCCGTCGGCGTTGAACACAAGACCCCACTCAAACTCCGGATCCGCCATTCAACATTGAAGAGAATAAGAGAGGCGAAGAGAAGAGGTTTGTGCGATGACGATGGAGGATCTTTGCGCCAAGAGGGAGGGATGGGGTGTGGGAGGCCGGCGGGATTTCACAGAGGATGGGCGGCGGGATCCACAGGGAGAAGATGGAGCCGGCGGGTGCAAGGAGGGG